GGGGGGGGGGGGGGGGGGGGGGGGTCTGTAAGACCAAAAAATTAAAAAAAAAAATGTATGGAGCTTAATTGAAGTTTTCAGAGGGGTAGGAAGGAGGGGTCCTTCCATCAAGAAGGTATGGATATTTTCTGGAACTACACATTCAGTAAGAGATGCTAGAGAAATTGAAAATGTACCTGTCAGTAAGTTTAATCTTCCCAACCAAAATGGCATCGAAAATGAGCCAGCTACATGTACATCAAAAAACTTCCAGTGAATTGTGGCACAGTGGCAAAATAACAAAGTGTTATACACTGTATGCCACGACTTCGATATATTTTTTTACAATAGTTGAGGAAATTCTCGCGAGCGCATTGGCTTATTTTTATTGTCAATAAGTGGACAGACACATAAATTTATACTTAATTTTATGCAATGTTGACGCTGCGAGTGAGAGCGGACAATTTGACAATTTCTTATTGTAAAAACAAATTGAAGTCAGTTTTTCATATGTCTGTCCTGTTACTGACAATGAATTTCATCATAACAGTGTCAAAGTAGTCTGCAGATCCACTCAGCGATCCATAGCTACTTTGAAAATGTTGTGACAAAATTCATGATCAATAACAAGGAAGATGTACGAAAAAGTGATGTCAATTTGCTAAGTTGATAACTATAAGCTTAATTAATACAGAAAACAAGGACCATGGAATATTTCATGATTATCCTTGTGATAGAACAATTACTTCGTTCCAAAAAAAGTGTTATAAAAACAACTCCAAAGTTATCACTGTAACCAATATATCACAAAGGACCCAGAAATTCAGGTGAACAGTTTTCCAGTGAACTCAAAGTAAACAAATGTAGCTGACCCGAAGTGCAGGGAAACCCGAGTCACTTTCAGTTTTGGTATTACTTCTGATTGGATGAAAAAGTGGTGCAAGATTTTAAGCCAATCGTATGAGGTCATGTGAAAGCCGGCTACTTCCGACATGATAACGACACTCAGTGAAAACCGCACTAAATAAATCGATCATAGTTTAAAAATTTACTAAGGAAAATTACACATAAATTAAACCCAAGGCACAAAACTACTTTTCATTGTATTTTAATCGCAAAAAATATCCAAGCAACGAACATTAATGTAAGATGCAGAATTCTTTCTTGTCACAGGAGGTTGCTGTGACACTAACAATATTTTAATTTCTGATATAAATTTTAGGCGCAACTCGCTCTAAATAAATGATCGCAGTAAGACATAGATAAGACGAAACATGGACAAACAGAAAGCAAAACAATTAAAATAGCCGAAAACAAACGGAGGCTTACCTGTTATACACGCCAACGTAAAATTCTCGCCTACATCAGACACCCTCACTTTCAACTGGGCGATAGCGGAAAACCGACACCCTTGTTTACAAGCAAGCAGAGGCTCTTCCTAAGAATAGAGAAGAGAAACGAAGTCATTACTAGCGTTTTAGTAAAACAGATGACAGTAAAAGACAGAATCTCGAGTTGTAGCTCTTTCCTTTTGGGTAAATTACCGCATGGCTGGCTACAACAAAGAGTCCTAAGCAATCTATCAGTACACAAGTACAATGCCACATGAAACGTCTTCATAATTTATAAGCTCAGAATATCACCTTTGGGTACGTATGTAACGGGTAGCTTCGCTCACAGCTCTCCTTGCACTGATCTAAGATGCCTGCCGGTTCATCTGCAAAGCTATACTGCAAGATCAAGAGAGAAATTACGACAGACAAAAGGCTTAAACCTTGTGGTCTTTCAGCCATTTTTTGTTTTGTTTCCTCTCACGACATGCACAAGTTTTTATACCCGTCACGTGATTTGAGCATGAAAAACAGGTTTTTGGACAGCGGTTTCATTGTTTATATGGCGGCCGGAGTCTTTTGTGATTTAAATATGTTTATTCAACACTAAGTCCCGAGGAAATACACCTTTTATATTTGTACTTCAGTCCATTATGTAAGAATATTGTCGAATTGCTGCTCTAAAAAGCGTCATGGTAGAAGGGAAACGAGCTTCGATCCTATTTCGGATAACCACTGCTTTGTTCTACGCCGCTTGTTCATTTGTGATCGTCGTTATCAACAAGACTGTGCTTACAACTTTCAAGTAGGGTTTATTTGATAATGATGATTGCCTTTATTATGAATGAAGCTGCTGCTGTGATTTGTACTTGAAGGACTGATAGATAACTGGTTATTGTCTCAATATTTCGTAGGTTTCCATCGTTCCAGTTTCTTGGAATAGGTCAGGTAGGCCGGTTGAAATACCGTACACGTGGCTTGTGTCCTGCAAGCAGTGCCATTCAAGCAGCTTGAATCGAAAAGCAATTTCAAACGCTCTTTATAATATTGGACTGTTTTTAAATTTGTTTCTATTATTTTATAGATTCATAGAATAACGTGGTTACTTTTTAACACGTTTACAACTATATTTTATTAGATCTATATCGTCGTATTTTAATTAAGTTTACTTTCTCAAATTTTCAGAACCTTGATAAAATATTGGCTGCATTTGATCATGAGCCAAACCCGCATGCATGTATGAGGCCATTGCCTGTTGAAATGCTACACAAAAATGAAATGTGATTCTTATTTTAATACAATTCTGTCCAGAGACAAAACTCTGTCCAAAGCCTTAGAAAATGCCAGTTGTGTCAGGGCCATTCCATTGTATGTCCACCTCCCCCCCCNAAGAGGGTTGTGGCTCTTTTTAAATCGGTCATTTAAAACCTAGAGATAAATGTTTGTTTGTTTGTTTGTTTTTTGTTATGTTGGCAGTGACGATCTTGCATTTGATGGCCTTGGTTATTTCTATATCCTTCTAAATGATGTTCTTACAGCAGCAAATGGTCAGTGTATGACAATTCTGCCAATTCTGATCTGCCAGTGAAATTAATAACACCTTTTAATATTGTTATGTTTCAAAGCGTAATGGCTTTGAAGGTTTTGATCTAACTTGATCATTTAAAACACTATTTTGCTGTGAGCTCAGAATCGTCTTTGTCTGTTTAAGGTGACTCAAAAAAGTTTCCAGGCTCTGGCTCTGAACCCTACATGTATGTACATAATTTTTTTATACTTCAAATGCCAAAAGTTGTGTCTTTTCATTCTTATAGTAACATTTGATAATGTAGAAAAAATTTCACCGTGCCGTTTTTGAATTATAAACCCCTAAAGCTGTAATTAAGGGTGTTTTTAGCAGGTCATACTGTTGTTACGGTAACCTATATTGTCACGAAAATGATAACAGTTTGTTCACCAATGATTGGGCAAATTATTTGATGCCATGATTGTAGCATCAAATGATAAAGAGTGGTTATAATGACCCATCAAAATCTAACTGTTGGAAACTGTTTTGAGCCACCTTAAAGGTTACTTTTGAGCTGTCCGCTCGAAAACCTTGCTTAGACGTTTTAAACGCTTTGATCTGTCCATTCGAAAGTGTTGCTTTACCGTTAAACGTTTTGAGATGTCTGTTCGAAAAATTCACCTAACCATTAAACGTTGTTAGCCATCTGCTTAGAACATTTCCCAGACCGTTTGAACACTCTATGTAGCCATTGAAATGCTCAAAGAAGTCCTTTTGGCCCTTGATGTAGCCCTCCAACTCATTCAATAAAGTCATAATCATTATCCAACTCCACTCAAAACGACAAATGGGTGTTTATACATATGGTCCTTATCATCCTTCTGAAAGCATCCAACACAGTATATTCACTCAGACAAATGTTTGGTTTGAATTTGTTCTTGGGTTGAAGATGTTCAAAGCAGTTTTAATTTTTTATCTTCCGCCTCATATATATGAGATATCATAACCTGAAACACAACAATGAAACATCAAACCACTTTAAAAAGTTTCGAATCCCAAAATAAATTTAAACCAGAGCACACAGTACAATAATAAATTATGAAATAACTTAAGGAACATAGAGTAAGATCCACAATGTATTGTTAGTAAACACTCCAAATGTGCAAAAATTGTATTTTGGGTTACACGTAAGTGTTTTTAGGTGAGTGCCAAGTTATTGTAAATACATTTCAACTTCATTCTGTTCGTAGACTTAATGGTATCAGGGATATATTTTACATTGCATAATGTAGTTCTGTTTTTGATGTACTGTAAGTAGTACCGAAGTTCTAGGAAATGTTACAATATACATGTTGAGCAGCTGTTACATGTCAATCCCCTTTCTGTTTCCATGTACTAGGTGTTTATGTAAAGAAGAAGTTAGAATCAAAGGTAAGTTGTAGAACGTGATGATAAATATTAATTTAAAATAATCCCCAATCAATTCAGTGGAAATTGTATGAAGACGATAAACAACACATCAAGTGTTTTCCTCTTCACTACTCCGGAGGAATTTGAAAACGCAGGTTTCACTCTGAAAACGCGTGAAACGTTTTCTGTCCACACTGCGCCTGAGGAATTTAAAAACGCGACAATCACCGGTCATTTTGGATTTGTGTTTGAGGAAAACTCGAGAAGCGAAATCACATGATTATCGTGACGTCATCGTTTTCGAAAAATTCCGTTTTCAAAATGGTTTCCGTCCACACGAAAACGCAAAACTGGCCTTTTTCAGATTTCACCAGTTCGAAGAGCGTTTTGAAAAGCTCCGTTTTCGTGGCGGATTAGTGTGGACGGTCGGCCTAACCGTAGAGATTCAAATTTCTCCGGCGTAGTGAGGATGCTGTCATGGTCGGGTGAAAGAAAGCAAAAACAAAACAGAAAGTAAAGAATCATTTACGTATTAATGGGAATACATCACATGTAATCTATTTAGCATGCTTTAATAGCTTGACTAACCAGGAAAAACTATTGAGCACTTTGATTTTGACTGCGGCCAGTGTGTAGTCTACTGCACAAAAAATGACAGTCACCTCCTCCCTTGAAGACACTTTCAGTTAGTAAATATTTATGAACACCTCACCACATGTCTTTCTAACACAGTATATAGTCGGGTATTGATCTAAGTACTTTACAAGAATTAAATAAAAAAGGCATGGCCCTATTCTAATGTGGACAGAGTTCCCTGATTTTCAAACAAACTTGCATCGTAGGATCAAGATGTTGTGCACAGCACAATGTTTTGCAACATGTACATGTACATGGTATAATTATATAAAGTGCTTTATGTGATTTGCCGTTTTGTGCATTTATTTCAGGAACTAGGAAAATATGGTTTATTATTTTACAATGCCATGTTTATGTTGTTGCCAGCTATTTTCATTGCGGACTTTACTGGTGAACTAGATGAGGTGAGAGATGCATGCATTCAAGAGCTTTATTTTCCAAACTACAAATTACAACAAGGTCTGTTCGTAGACTTGCTACAAGTCAAGCTGCGAAAGCCGAACTCGGTGAAAAATTACTGCGACGCTCAAAACTTGAGAACGAAGAGTAACAAGCGAATTTCGACGAAATTCGTGGCTTTTTGGGGTTTTTCGAGGAAATTTCACTTGAAACGATATTTGGATGATATTCCTCGCATGTTTCGGTCCGCGCGAATTTTCGAGCGATAATCAAGTGCACTTCCGTTC